GGAAAATAAGAGAAAGAGAACAAAAAAAAACAAATGTCTTAGAACATACGCAGTGTGAGAGAAGATGAAACACGAAGACAGTAGGTAGAACGTGGGGGAGAAAGGGGGAGACTAATGAAGGTCATCAGAAGCCATCATGGGGCTCCCTTGGATAGAAATTTAGGGAGAGAGGTAGGGGAGGCTCCGGCGAGTGTGATGAATATGATTATAGGTGTGTAAGTGTGTGTGACAGTAATGAATTCAGGGTGTGGAACAGGAAAGGGATATCGGTCTTTGAGAGTGTTGAATTTCAAACAGGGACACCGGCCGCTCGCCACCGATCGCTGTGTGGCTGTGTGTGCGTTTTGCCCGTGTCCACACTTATTCATCTGAGTGAGTGTGTGTGTGTGTGTGTGTGCGCGCATGGCTTTGTTCCGAAATAAGCAGGTAAGAGATGCAGCTCGGCCGGATGTAATTTATGTGAAAACTAACAGAGCTGTCCTGAGATGTCATTAGCTAAAAGGCAAATTTCATTATGTCGCTAATATGGACCAAGATGACTCTTTTTGATGTCCGTCCGTCCCCCCCCCCCCCGTTCTCTCCCTCCTCCCGGCTCCCTCCCCTTACCACCGTGTCCCCGCCTCCAGCCTCCTTTTTGTCTATTTACCCCGCCTTCCTCCCCCCCATCCTCCTCCTTACACCCCCATTAAGAGGACCTCCTTATTCAGAGCAGTTTTACCTTTCAAGGTTGAAGAAAATGGCCATGTGTCTGTGTTTGTGTGTGCGGGGGGACAGTGAGAGTGATTTTCACTCGAGGTCCCACTGACTGCAGCGATGGTGACTCACCTTCAGCCCACAACCACACACACACACACACGCACACACACGCACACGCACATTGCACTCCTTACCCTCCCTCCCCGCCTTTGATGTGTTTGAGTCGATGGCTAATCAGGTAGCATCAGGCCTGGTCCTCATTTCCCCTTCACACCTGCCCCATTAGGGAGCAGGCTTTCTGGAGCGGGCCGATAAGGACGATATGCTCTTCTTTGGCGCTCTCTCTTCCATATATACCTTTAAATCTCCCACCGCTCTCTCATTCTACTCTTTTCCCCCCATCTTTACCCTCCCCAAATCTCCAGTGTCTCCCTCATTCCTCCATCTCTTACTCTCCCCTCCTCATGCTCCTGTCACCGTTCGGTTTTCTTCGCATCTCACCAGCTTTCCGTTAAACGTCCCATTGGTCTGTTCCTCCTCTTTTCCCCATCTTAACTTCTCCACTGTCACACACACACACACACACACACACACACACACACACACACACACACACACACACACACACAGCACCTCCTTTCCTTCTGCATCCGTCTCTCACTAAACTCCCCCACTCGCTTCCTCACGTCCTTTTAGCCTCTCACCTCATGCATCCCTTTAACTACTTCCTTTCCTTTTTCTCTAAAGTGCTCAACGCTTTACCTTTAAATTGTCTTGTAATCTCCTTTCCTAACTGCCTTAGACTGTTTTTCCACCGTTTCGCTTTTACCTCTTCCTTGAGGGAACACATCGGATTTTTGTTGTAACATTGGACCGATGGTCAGTTTGCGATTAAAGGATGAACAGGCACATCTGTCATTTGTCCCCAGTTTGCTTCCATACTTTAAGAGCTTTGAGATGATGGAAGGTAGCACCTTACCCCGAGTAAGACTTACTGTTAAAATGTTCCAGTGTGAAATCTGTCAACGGTATTATATTCCTAATTTGTTTTACATTTATGATGTCCTGTCCTTTTATAAGTTATCCGTGGTTTTCAGAGCCATTTTTCAGGAACTTAGGAGTAAATAGGGAGACGAGGAAAAGTAATTTCCACTCACCGAGCACATGAACATCTAATAAAACGATTCATATTCTAAAAAATGTTTTAGCAATTTCTCTTTTCGAGGCACGGCTTCACTTTCGTTGTTATTTACCAATTAACATTTGTACTTAAACACAGTTAACAACAAATCAAGTTCCCTACAGTGCCAACAACCCATTATATGCACAACAAAAGCACTGAAACTAAACAGCAACTCTATGGCTGACTAATACCACGGTTAAATTAGCTTCACCCTTATTTTATTTTTCTACCAATTGAGCAATGAGCATTGGGGTTAAATAAATAACATTGGTTATGACCACTTCAATTCAACATTTTCATCAAACTTTCGCATTTGTTGTGAAAAGCGTAGGTGGCGACGTGCAAAAAACGAGATGGCGAAGTGAAGGCTTCATAAATGTTCGCCCACAAACTAAAGGCCCCTACCTACACAGTCCATACGTTGTTTACTGGAATATGCAGAACGGTGACTTGCACACGGGGTTGCAAATGAAACGGTTATTCAATAATGTAAACAAAGGTTGTTTAAATATAGTTAATGAGCTAAAAGATGTTATACTACGTTGGGTTTTATTGTTAATACATCACGTTAGCTGATGAATACAAATCTTGAATTCATCGATATTTTCGTTTCCTTTTTACTTGGTTTATGTCATCTTTTGTCGGAGCTTAATACATTTATTTTGGCTCTATAATAAATGGATACAATGCGCATAACTTGGAAGGAGCAAAAGTTTGGGCAATATTTGAAGTATCTGTCAAGGCGAAGCAAAGGGAAGGAAAAATAAAAGAATGAATGATTGATGTGAAGCCCGAATTACAAAATAGTTGGAAGTTTTAGTCCAGAGAGCAGAGAAAGGAACGATTTCCATCACCTTGCCGTGATGGAGATTCATTAAGAAAATGCTCAAATGAGTTATAGTATATAAATCTGTAGTACTCGTAGGCGATTGAAGCTATTTGAATCTGCATTGGGTCTTTCTTTAACATGTATTACATACAAAATGTAGATGATTGTGTGTGTGGGTGTGGGTTGCGGGTGGAGAAATGACTCAGTGTGTGCGTCCGTGTAAAAATACATTTCTGCCCACAGCCGAAATTCACCTGCACCAACAGAACGTCGGCGTTTGCAGTAGTGCTGCTGTGTAGTCACATAACAACCCCCCCCCCCTTTTTTTAAAGGTAAACCAGTCTGAACAACTGTCGCCTTTTTCTTTACTTTACATTTTTCTTTTGAGTGACCTAACTTTAGCAGTCCTGTCAGTTTCCTTCCTTCCTTTCTTACCCCGTGTTGCTGTTCTGTCAGCGTCTCTTTGTGGTGTAACCGCCTCTTCTACTAAAATCATTGCAACACCGGCAGAGTACTGTTCTTGTCCCAAGTGGCAATTTTCACATTTCAAAGTGTTTCCTCCAGGTGTCAAATGTATAGGCTGTCTAGATATGACGATTTAAAAAAAAAAGAAGAAAATTTAAAAGTTAACCAAATGAACTCAGATGAAAAATGAAACCCACTTGCTTCATTCTAACAGCTTTATCGGTTGTCATAGAGAAGAGTGAACCTGGCAAATGATTGAGATGTGATCTAACCATTAAACACAACGGCCGTTCTTCACCCATCTGGCACTCCCAGTTGGTTAAACTAACACTAACAATCATTTGCAGCGCATTTTGGTCGCAGAGCCGGTTAAGAGACCTACGGGGAAACGCACACACTAGCAACGCACAAACATCACAGGAATCCCGATCATTTGTACCTTGAAGTAGGGATCAGATAATATCATGCAAACACTGTAATGAGTGCAGTGATGATCAGCAGCTACTCCGTCTCCCTTTGTGTCTCTTTCTCGTGTTTGAGGGCCAACTCTGTTCACAAGCAGCCCGACGCTAATTTGGGATAAAAAAAGAAAAATACTGACTAGCAATATTTTGCTGGTTTACCACAGATTTCCAAGGGACCACACATACGCTGTTGAAGTACCACCCACATCTCATTTGATGAAATTAGGTTAGGAAGGAGCCTGTTCTGCGCTTTCCTCCTTTGTGAGAGAAGAGCTCATGGTGTGGAAATTAGGAGTCTGGATGTGCGTATGTGTGTGTGTGTGTGTGTCTGTGCAAACGTAGACATCTGTGTGTGTGTGTGTGTGTGTGTGTGTGTGAGCGAGAGGCTGACTAATCCCTCCACAGAGCTGAAACGAGTTAAAAACACATCAAAGGGAAGCTTAACCTCTGTGAAACCTCACCGGGTTTTCAAGAACAACAAATGATCATTCTCCTCATTGTTTCCAGGGGGACTCTTTTCACCGCTGCGCCGCTGACTTTTCCTTCAGTCCTGGGAGTTTTCAAAAAGCCTGTGGTTTCATTTTTAATGACTGTGCCGTTTGTCTAAGAGTGTGTGTGTGTGTGTGTGTGTGTGTGTGTGAGTGTTTGCAATAGACTATTATATATGCGTGCAGATGTGTGAGTGGGTGCACCCGTGTGTGTTTGCACATAAAAAAAGTGTAAGTTTGAGCGTGACACGGCAAATGAGGAAAAACCAATCTAATTAGACACGCAGTTCTACTCACAATATTAAAAATGTACGACATCCTGACCGTCTACATAACAGCTATGTGTGAGTAAAAAACAATGAACGATTAAACAAAAGAACATAAAAGGGAGACTGGAGAGCAGGTGGGGGAGTGTTGGGTATTGCATATCGGAGATACAACAAGAGACAATGGCAAGATGAGGAAGCCAATTGTGGTCTGAGACCTGCTTTCCCCAGAATTCTCATTATCACAGTATAATAGCGCTGCTTCTGTTATAGTTCAAATATTTGCATGCTTGTGTGCAAAGGTGCTCTTGTTCAGCCGCCGTGAACGTCTGAAAGGAGCCGAGTCACGCGCAGATGCTCGTGGAAAGCCGGCAGATCAATACATGTGCGAGTGTCTCCCCGGCTTCAAACGCACATTGAAGATCATTTATTTAATGGTTCTTGCTGGTTACCAATACTTCAGCATCCTTTCAGAAGTAAATCATCAGCTGTGAAAAAGGACTAGCGCTAACACGTAGCAGCGCTAGCCTGTTATTGTAAGCGCGGATGGACGAATGAAAGGAAAAAAAACGTTGAGCAATGTGTTACCAGTAACAAATGTATCGGTTTTTATTTCCCCGTCCATACAACACGAGGGGGGGGGGGGGGGCAGCAACAGAGAGGAATCAATAAGTGGTTTTTTAGTATAAAGCAAAATACCAAACATCTAATAAACTCAATCACACACTCATCCACAGGCACTCGAGGATACTGAGGACACGTCGCCCCCCCATTCGTCCGACGCGACTCTCTGTGTAAGACACATTCATCAACAACCTGTTCTTTTTAGTTCATTTGATTATACGTTGAAGATTCTGACAGTTCTGATGACCTCTAACCCTTTACTTCAAGTAAGTGCAGACAAGTGACATCTTGGTCTTTAGAGTTTTGTGATCATTTCGTGAAGACGGGCTGCCGCTCTTCAGAGCATTACAGCATTTTGAGGATGCATACATTTTTGATGTTAAGTGTCAGAATCTATTTAAACATAATATATATATATATATATTCTTGGAATAAATTCTCCTTCTCCTTCTGGCCCAGCAGTAGAAATATCCTGAGTGGATATTACATGATTTGAGGGAATTCCATCGTTCGCCGGTTCTGGAGCCCCCTTCAGGCCAAAAAGCACCCTGGGAGTCGGCTTGGACCTGCAGGACATTAACCTCGCACTGACTTCGCTCCCTGGCGAGGAGGTGGAGGCCAACGAGTCATGACGGGTCAAAGTCTTCAGTGTTGCTTCGTCTGTTCAGATCCCCGCTCGTCCTCCCGGGCCGAGCACTTTTCCCAGTGAGGCGTTGGGCCTGACCCCCCCCCCCTGACTCACCTGTCCCAACAGCGAGGCTCTGTCCACGCCTGAGGGGTGGAGGGGGGGGGGGGGGCGGTGGGACGAGAACAAGGCGGGCGCAGAGAGGAGAGCCGGGTGAGCACCGGGGGACAGGGGGAGGTGGACGATGGAGCTCTGCTGGAAGGTGGAGGAGGAGGAAGAGGAGGCAGCAGTCTGCGCACGGACCGCTCGTCCTCCAGCTGCCTGCGCAACCGCTTATTCTCCCCGCTGAGAGAGTTCAACTGGAAAGAGAGAGAAAGAGACGTTTGGGGGGGGGGGACGCATGCACAGCAGAAGACATGTGGGGACAATGAGTGTAAGAACGGTTTCCGAAAAAATGAAAATAAACATTCAGTCGTGTGACGGTGGAACAGCGTGAGGGCGACATTTACCGGTGGAATCGGAAGGAAGTTTAAACATCACTTGTTTAGTTAAATCAGCTGAATTACAAAAGTTAATTGGAAGTTACCAATAAAAATCAAACCTCAAAAGTCAACAGCTATCAAGTTGATGAAGTAGCTGACATCTCATTATGTGCTTAATTCATCTTTCACAGTTACTTTCATGCCTGTTGAAACAGAAATGCGAGTGGGAAATTGCCGGGGGGTTCTGAGGAGAGCATTGACTTCACAGTTTGAGATGGTTGCAAGTCGGAGTCGCGCGACGGTGTAAATTTCTACATGAAAACAACCAATTTGAGCGATCATTAGAGGTCGATTTGACACAAAATCATCCGTGACACAAAACAAACCGCACACCGTCAGAACATGATTGGGCTCCCTGAAACACAATTACAGAGGAGCTAAATTGAGGGTGTTTTGTATTTTGACGGGGACATTGGAGTAAAAGCAGCGAGCAGTGGGAGAGTCAAACAACGGGTCTTTAAAATGCAGAAACTAGAACAAAAAAGACGTAAAATAAGAAAGAAAGTATTGAGAGACGGAACACAAAGGGAAAGGACAACCGCATCTGTTTTGTAGTCTGTGTGTGTGTCTGTGCGAATGTTGTGGTTCAAGAATGATGTCACATGTCTGGCCGTGTGTGTGTGTGTGTGCGTGCAAATGCATATTTGTGTGAAGGAGGGAGAGGAAAACACACCGGATGGTTTCGCTAACATTACGCGTCCAGACACACACAGACACACACGCAGACACACACACTATAAATCTGAGCAAACGTATTACATCTCATGACTAGAAAAGGGCTGAACGCTGCAAGAGTCCAAACTACCCGGAGACACTTGACGAGTGTTTACCATCTTCAACACGTCTTTCCCAAAGAAATAGGATTCATAGATGAAAAACACTGAGGTTGACATTTATAATTAAATGTTTATTCAAGGGACCCGGTTTCATTTTCCTCCTCTTTGGTTGCTCTGGATGCTTTTCTAATTGCAAAGGAGGGGGGGGGGGATTAAAAATCACAGCCTGTCTCTTCAACCTTCACATGGTGCGGCGAACTGGTGGGCACACGTTTGAATGAAAAGAGTGGTGTGTAAGTGGGGGAGACGCGAGGACACGAGGGCCGAGTGTGTGTTTGCCGGCGTATTTTAATACAAATTATGACAATTACTGAGCTAGAACTGATGAATAGAGACAGCAAAGTTCTTCTCTGTGTCAAAAAGGTTTCCATTTTTTGTTTTTTTGGGCCCCGTTGGCATAAGATGATGAACTTTGAAATATTGAGTCATATACACAGTCAAAAATACTCAGTCACTCTCTACAGCTGCTTGTGGTGGAAGGTGTTCGGAAATATTACCGATCACTCCCCTTTTCATCTCCAACAACATCAGCAGGCTGGACATTAGCTGATGCTAAAGAACAATACAGCGCCAGCTGGCTTATAGATAATCAGGCCTACAATCTACCGCCCGTCTTCCCTCTGACGTCCACCTGCCCCCCCCACAGGTGATGGAAAATCACTTAACTTTACTCAAATCAAATTTTGTGTGACATTTCAATAGTTGAAATTGCGTGAAATACGCTTTGACAGTCGGATGTAAATCACACGCGTGCGTGCGTGCGTGCGTGCGTGTGTGTGTGTGTTGCATGGACGCCGTTAACACGCCGCCCCCGGGCGGACGGGAATGCGACGGCACTAAACCAGTTTTTGGACCGTGAGCGAGTGAGAAGAGACACGGGCCCGATTCACAACCCGGAGCCTTTCACACACACACACACACACACACACACTCACACACACTCACACCGAGGCTTCTTCACGGAGATCTGTATCCGGTGGCGAGTGTGAGTTTGTCCAGTGGAGAGTGAAGCGAGTGGCCTCACTGTGTGTGTGTGTGTGTGTGTGTGTGCGCGTAGGATGCCCACGTTGGATCGATGTGTGTAATGATTCACGCTAGAGATTAAGAGGCGCCATTACACACCTGACCTGTTAAACAACACTTCTCTCCCCATCTCTGTCGGCCTCTTCCTCTGCTCCACCCGTCTTTGCCATACACACACACGCACGCACGCACGCACGCACGCACGCACACGCACACACACACACACACGCACACACACACAGCACTGTTTGCTTTTCATAGAAGAAGAAAAAAAAAAGAAAGCCCACCGCATTAAAACTTCTACAAGTGCTATCTTTTGTCGTGTCTCGTCAATCAGCGGGCCGTTCGGCAGACTAACAAAAGGCGGGTGAGCCGCTCCCCGGGCCTTGAGGTTTTTGGAGAACTGAGGGGGCTGAGGAGTACTTTTGATTTGTCTCTCCTTTGGTGATTTGTTGACTCTTCTGAAGTTCAACGCAGTAAAAAAAATAAATAAAATAATGTCAAGCTCTTTCCCTCAGAATATTCCTCTGTGTTTTTTCCCCCCACATTGTTTTATCGCAGCGGGCCATTTCCCTGCGCTGTCACCGAGAGATCAGCGCGCCTTTATTGATATACATCCCTCTCTCGGTTTCATGAAAGGGAAATCATTTACCAGTTGAAGAAACGTCACTGGCTTTTCCCCAATACCATTTGTCCCCCCCATTGCACACGCTGCACATCCGCCCCCCCCCCACCACCCCCCCTGCAGACTTTTCACTTTTATCGTAGGAAGAGGAAATGGATTGTCTGTGTGTGCGTGTGTGTGATTGAAGTTGGACGTATGAAAGCTTCCTCTTCCTCTGTGCGAGCTCAACAGCAGGTGGGCTGCGGTGTGGGGGTGTGTGTTTGTATCTGCCGGGTAAAAGGACTGTCAGGACCCGGTGTGTGTGTGTGTGTGTGTGTGTTCTCTTACTTGTTGATTTAGCATTCTGATGGCCTCCAGGTTGCTTCGAAGTCTAGTCTGCATGTCCTGGATTTTGCTGAGGTTTAGAGCCACAGCCGCACAGCTCTGCTTTTCCATGCTGTAACACAAGTGTGTATGCACGCACACAAACACATACTAAATATTCACTTAGGCCCCTTTGCAATGAATACTTCTTACGTTTAAGGAAACAGAAAAATATACTTTACTTTCCAGCTGCTTCTTGAAAGTGGCTTGTATGTATTTTACAATAAAAATGCGCACTACGTGCAACTCCTCTTGTCGTGGTCAACTTCTAAACGTTCAATGAACCGCAGACGAGAAAAAATGTTCTAATCAAATCAACTGTCCTCAAAATCTGGGGCACGAAGAAGTTGGCGTACAACATCTTCATTAAAAGTTATTACTGAACTCAAAGATGGGTGAGCAAATGAGTTCATGAATTCATTAAATCATACATGAAAGCGCTTAGAAAACGGGAAGAAAAAAAAAAATGCAAAAAGAAAACAAAGGCAACCGCGGCCAGGGAACATTAAGAGTACAAGAAGCCATTTAAGATTTTAACTGTTTATTAAAAACGTTTTGGGGAACGACAAACAAATGCTGGGGTCTGCCATCTTCAGGCCTGACTAAGGAACGTCTATTAAATTAACGACGGTGGATAATGGCGCCGTGTGCGGGCTGAACATCGAGCTGCCCCCGCTTTACGCTCTTTCCTTCATGCCCCAGCGAACCTGTCCAGTTAGCATTCGGGAAACCCTTCTAAATACTTTATTGATGACTTCTTAGCCCATTAAAGCAACACTCTGCCTCCCCTAATGTGAATTTTCTTGTAAAAGAGCACGTTGGGTTTTTCGATCCGAGCAGCGGATGGAAAGACGGTCCCGCTTTGCTCCCGGTCGAGAAGACGGGAACGCTCATCCAAACGCAAATAAATGTCATTATTGTTCCTGTGGATGTGGGTGAGCTGAGACACACACACACACACACACACACACACACACACACACACAAACTTGTGTCCCCTATTAACGATAACTTAAAACATTGAAGATCTGCGGAGACACTTGAGGGAGATGCTTATATGTGAACTGACATTTTTTTGTCTAAAAAGTTTATGAGATCCGTTAGTGGAAGAATCTCGATCCCCTGTGTTCGTAACCGTCGACCAGGAGACAATTACAACACAAACAGCCACCACGGTAACTACGCTGCGTCAAAGCGCCGTCCCTTCCCTCTACTGGGATTCTACCTCGGGTTTCCTAGCGAATATGACGCGACCTTGAGGTGCGGCAGCTTTGAAAATCATGAAGAAGAAACACAAAACCTGTTATAATGGAGGACTTGAAGAAGATATACTACATATTAGTTGTTCTTTTCATCAATCAATGTTTGACTAAAACACCGCTCGCTGTTTCAGTCAAATATTAATGATGAAAAAAGTCTTCATAATAATTCATTAATTCATACATGCATAATTCATCCGCCAGCTGTCAGGACATACTCATTAACCAACAAGCTAATCAAGCTTGGACAATTTAAGCTTTCTTTTTTTACAAGATAGCCAATTTCCTAAAAATTTAATTCATAAAACGTAACATAATTGCAACTGACCCCTTCGAATCTTTTAATTTCACACCGTAATGACGGTACAAAAGAACATTAATAGGAAGAAACGCAGACATTTCCTTTGATCTTTTAAATTGTAAATGCCTTTTAGAGGAGGATTCTTCCATTGCTACGGCGACGGAAATGCAGGAGGCACAAAATCTGGAGCGCCGCGTCTGCACAGATTCTTCCCGTGATTTAAACGCTTTCCTAGATGCTAATGCGCTCTTCAGCGGCTCATGAACCCCCGCCGCCGCCGCCGAGACAACTGTGTGAGATTTATGCACCCGGTGTGTAAACACGTGTTCCTGTGCTTACACGCAAACATGGATGTGTGTAATTAGCGGCCTAACCCAATCAGTGTGTGTATAATTACAGTCATTAGTGTCAAAGCCAAGCTGCCATGCTCTCTAAACCAGGCAATAAACTACATGGACCCTTCGCCGCTCCGATCTCGCTCTCATCTTTCTTATTTACTGCTTTCATCACACATTTTATGCAAGACTTGAGTGGCTTCTCCCACAGCCTCCTTATCTGCTCTTTCTGTCACTTTGGCTCCCTGTGTTTGTACAAATCCGCCGCTGTGATCACTGGCTGCTGTTAATTGGAAGCACATTGTTAATGGTGCGACTGATGAAGCCCGATGCTTTATGAGCGCCCCCCCCCCGGCCCCCCCTTCATGGGTTGTGTCAGACAGTCACAGCAAACAGCATCAATCTCTGCTGCTGCCACTTAGCGCATCTCACTGTGCCCTCTCGTTTTAATGTTTTCAGATATCATTTCACATCATTTGAGGTGAAATGTGAAGTATATTTTGACAGCAGATGATTAGATTGAATCTGCTTGCAATTGCATACATTAAACGTACCGCAGCCTCACAGCACACATGCTGCCGCGCGGCTAAACAACCTGTTCTCTCGTACCGCCTCAAATCACACACATCCAAATAAGACATATACAATTGACAAAGGACGATCAATAAAAACTCAACATTTCAACATCGGTTTCCATAAAGCATATTCTTGAAAGTGGGCTAAAGCTGCCATCTCAGTTCCTCGCCTCTCTGTTACAAACTGCCACCAGTCACAGGAAGCCGTGACACTCCGGCTGCTTTCCAACCGAAGGCCACGTAATCATAATAGATTTCTTTAATAAAGGCATATCTAATGACAACGCCTTCACGCCGCGTTGATTGCTGCCAGCGATAGTGACAGTGCAGAGACACTGAGGAAACCCCCTTTGCCACCAGTAATGAGATTTATACACTGAACGGCTGCCCTGCAAATATCATGACACGTCTGTTGCCTCATGGATGTCTGATTTTCATACATATGGCATATTGTTTAGGTGTGCGTGGGGCGGAGGGGGAGGGGGGTTACAATAATGAAATGAAATAAATTAGGAGTCCTCATAATAAAGAAAAGGGAAATACAAAAAAGAATGGATGGGGAGACACTATGGAAGAGGCTTTCATTCACTGTTTTTTATCTCATTCCGTGTTATTATATTCGCTCAATCAAAACCCCTCTTATGCACACATCTATATGAACTGCCTCGCTCGCCGCGTCCCCCCTCTCCCGCTCATTTGCAATTATGAGGGGAAAGACAAGGAAAAGCGATTCATCTTTCTGTCGCGGCCCCTTAATGATATCATTAAAATGACTGACAGCTTTGAATAGCGATGGAAACCCACCCCAGTCAAAACAAATCTGATCCGTTTTGGAAACAGAGCCGGGTGGTTCGTTAGGGGAGGGCGGGGGGGGGGGGGGGGGGGGGTGCATGTGTGTAAAGCGGGGTGAGGTGGGTGAGGGAGGTGTTAATGAGTTATACCTCGGGGGGGTCACACAGGGAGCATGGGGAGGAGCCCCCGCAGGCAGGTTGCCCCCACAAACACCCTCTACCTCACTTCCCCCCATAACACCCGATCCTGATCCGCGCCGCGTTGCTTTTAATTGCCTTAATGAACTTTACAAATATATCTCCTCTATTGATGCTATTTCACAGCCGTGTGAGGAGGGGGGGGGGGGGGGGGGGGGGGGGGGCAGGCAGGAGAGGGTGGGTCCTTGATTGGAGCGTAATCACTGCTAAAGGCCCGGCATGAATAAAGTGTTCACACACGGCCCACTGGGTGTTTCATTCACAACGTGGCACTCCTGGTGTTATTAACATCGTCAGCTTTGTTTGGGCTGGATTGCGTGTGGCATGGCGGGCGAGGCGTTGGTTGGATGTGAACTTACGCTCTCCTGTCTTGCGGGACGCCCGGGTCCAGGCCTGCGAACAAAGTACAAAAGGAAGATAAAAAACAAAAACAAATCTGTTGTTGCGATAGACTCTCTTTTGGTCTCTCCCCACTAGCTCATTGCTCGTTCACCTGGAAGCGCTCCGTGTCTCTCGTCTTCTCGTCCCCCACCTCTTTTAGTCGCGTTACCTCCGCTTTCAACGCGTCATTAGAACCTTGAAGGTGCCTGACGAAGCCCGGGAGACGCAGTGCCAGAGTTTACCCGCCGCGCGCACATAGAGAGACAGACACCCATTATCATCAAGAGACTCTTGTTAACACGGGAGACAACATATTCCAGCCGCACAACGGCAATTTGTTTCTCTGCTTCCGGGAGAGCAGCTTGGACAATATCACACACACAAACACACATCACAATCTATAATGAAACGCTGTATATTTTTGCAGCCATTTATTTCTTACCCGTGTGGGTATTTATTTCAGTAACTATTAAAACAAGTTGTAATTTGTTGTATTTATTGTACTATTATGTTTCGAATCAGAAGCATGAAACTGTTATTTAACTGGAGGAGAGGTAGAAATGTCATCTTTTATAATCGCCGCTGTGTGTGAGTAAGACTGAGTAAGCTCTGACTGTGCACAGCTTGTGTGTTTCTGGTGTAAAAAGACAGTTACCATTAAAACAGGTAACACACACACACACACACACACACACACACACACACACACACTGTATCATGCAAACGCGAGCGTGAAAGAAGGAGACACACGCAGTTGTGGCGTTTCTAGGCGGGGCGGCGGGGGGGGGGGCACCACAGGGGGAGGGACGACAGAAGACAGCTGGACCGCTTTGATCTCTGGAAAGAGGAATATGTCACGCCCACGCCAGTGTGTGTGTGTGTGTGTGAGAGAGAGAGAGTCATGGTGACGCAGATAGGCAGCATGGCGGTCAGGTTGCGAGAATGTCCACCACAAACTACCCTGCCGGTGGGAACGGTGACCAGGTTGCAGGTGAAGCGGTTCGCTCTGCTGTAGCGTAGACAGGAAATACTCACGCTTTCTCTTCAGTGAGGATGAGCAGCACCTTGTTCTGGGCCTCCGTCCGGCCACTGAGGCTCTCGTTGGAAGCTCTGACGGGGGGAGGAAGACTTTTGTCACGTCACTGTTACCTATTGTGAAGCTAAACCAGCTACGGCGTTTTATAAGGACATAAACATGGTGCATCGAGTTTTAGGAATACAAATGAATTAGGAAGAAAAAAGAAACATTGCGGGGCTCCTTTTGGTCTTACTTTTGTTTAGCAATCCAACAGTTGACATTAGTCACGACCAACTGGCTCTCATGGCGCAGGTTTGCCTTCTCAGACCGCGTCTCCTCCAGCTCCGCCAGCAGTGTGTCCACCTACAATTCACAGTCAAACATTCCCAATCACAACAACGGTCATTAGGTATCAGCGGGAACTGGAACGTTCCCTCCATCTTTGCTTCAATGCGCTTTTAATTTCACAGTGAATATTCACTTCGAACACTGGCTTTCCAGGTTTGGGTTTAGGTCTCTCTCTACTCACACCAATGGTGTAAAATTAACAAAGGAAATTGGGTCTCTAATAGATGGTCGCAATGACAGGGGGAAAATACATTTCCAAAATAGGGCCTAATAACAACACAAGAAAGAAAACAGGTAAATGGAGAATAATGGGGGATGAAAGAGATGGCATTTGCACACACAGGTGTAAATAAGAGGGTTAGGTATTAAGCAGGTGTAAGGAGGACAAATGGAGGGACGGGTGGGAGGGGGAGGGGGCAGAAGCAGACTAAAGATGAGATTGGAGTAAAAGGGGCGGGTGAGGGGTGAAAGCAGGGATGGGGTGGCGATGGCCAAACTGCTGACTTTTTCATTCAGCTTATCAGTCAAGACCTTTCCATGCCTAAACTCTTGGGACCCTGGCACATTACCCTTATCGCCATGGAAACACCTTGATATACCATACTATTTCCCCACAAATACATGGGAAAACATGAAAAAAAAAAGTTTCCAATATGTTGGCCATGATTTAGGGATCCAGAAATGTCACATGATTAACCCAAAATGTCAAAAATATTAAACGCTGAGTGAGGCGAATCACGTACTGTGTGCGTCTGTTGAATCCCATACGTATATTTCTTTACCGATGTTTATCTTGACAACCCGACAGAGTTAAATGTAACTCTGAGAAAATAAGACAGCTGATCCTATAGATGCCGAGCTGAAAAATATTGCATGCAGGCAAATTCAAAGAGATTATCACAAACAATTCTTCCCCATTTCACCAAATGGATTCAGTGAAACTGGACACGGAGCAAAGAGTGGACAACCGTTGAGATGTCTAATAAAACAGAGTTGCATTGTCTGAAGTGTTCATAAACTTTGGGGATTGTGTCAATATGTACGGTGAGTTACTATAAACTATAAAGTGGCTTCAGGAGCCGACCGTAAATTAAAAATAACTGCTAAATGAGCCAATGCTGTTCTAGATTTCTGATCCATGATAAATATGTTGGCTAAAAGGACGCGTTGCAGGGATGGAGAAATCGATTGCATGCTTAACGTTAAATGTCCTGCAATTCCAAGCTAGTATGTGAACGCCACGTCGCCGAGGTGTGTTCTGAAGAGGTGGCCTTCAGTAAAGCCTGCTGGTATTCAAAAGAAAAAAACAGAAAGATTGAGTTCTTGGGAAACCTCCCATATGTCAAATGAATGTCCATTGTCAAACCGCTTATCCTGCACGCAGGGTCGCGGGGGGGCTGGAGTCCATCCCAGCCATAGACAGGGTACACCCAGGATAGGTCGCCAGCCAATCGCAGGGCAACACAGAGACATACAACCATTCACACTCACATTCACACATCTACGGGCAATTTAAAGTCCCCAATTAACCTGATCCCCAGAGCATGTCTTTGGACTGTGGGAGGAAGCCGGAGAACCCGGAGAGAACCCACGCAGACACGGGGAGAACATGCAGACTCCACACAGAAAGGCCACTGGGTGGAATCGAACCCAGGACCTTCTTGCTGTGAGGCAACAGTGCTAACCACCACGCCACCGTGCCGCCCTGTCAAATGAATGTGAGATAGTAAAAGGTGCAATTCAAGAAGAAGAATTCAAGATCAACAATCTAAATTAATAAGATGCCTCATATGGGATATTTATTTTCTTAACATAAACATTAGAATTAAGTGTGATCATGTTAAGGAAGGGCTGCATTTTTTGACAGTCAAACAATGAGGAAAAACAGAGGTAGCGATGAAATGACACCAAGCAAATCATTCAATTTTAGTGCGTAAACACATTGCAGAAACGCGGTTTCATTACGGTTTTTCGGTCACACACAACATATATCATCATCTAAAATAAGTTGGTACGTTGACCTAAACCTCAGGATAAAACTCTAACAGTAATTACACAAACAGAAATATCAAAACCTCGCCTTTCAGAAACTGAAAACACCACAACGCATCTGCACCCGCGTACGCACACACACACACACACACACACACACGCACACACACACAAGCTCACGCTGCTGGGATCCGTGCTGTAATGACGGTAATTACCTGTGGTTCTACATTAACATCTCCCTCCTGACCGTCCGACGGGCTCGGCTGGTGGAGGGATGTAAATGGCAGCACAAGTCTGATGTTGTGATTAGGACTAAATTACGCACCATCACTCTGTTTTCCACCGGTGTCAAGGGAGGCAGCGAAAGGGTGTGTGCGAAGGAGGGGGAGAGTGCGAGAGAGAGGTGGCAGCGGGACGGATATTTAGAGAAAAATGCACAAAAGGAGGCGCAATTGCGAGCAGGGGGAGGAGTGAAGCGGCATACCTGCTTAACATTTAGATTGGTTTTGTTGCGCAAATATTTTAGCAGATGATGGGGGGCTAAAAGGGGCAACAAAATGCATTTGGGGACACACTAACCAAGCAGGGCGATACCACTGGTCCTTTCAGGTCTCTCCAGAGAAAAAGAGTTTACTACTGCGGTGCTGGTGGAGGATGTGGGATCAGCTGCTGCAGCAGTATTTGTCATTTCGACGACAGAAGTCGTCCTGTCCACACGTTTCACCGACAAAAGAAAATAATATGGACAATTCTTACTCTGAAGTTATACATCTGAATGAACTTTTATGGCGAAAGTGTATCTGCAGACCAATAAATACATTAAAAAAAAAATGATGGGAAGCAGTTAATGGGTTTTCCATCTTTTCTATTCTACGTTGAGTAGTGGACTGGTATCACCTTCCATATTAGCCGTGCAGGACAGAAGTGCATTTTCACTAAAACATAGCGGGCCGAGGTCGTGTGATGAACCAAAGTGAACTTTTCTCGTTAAAGAGAGGAACATAAAGATGATTTGAGATGATTTTTTTTTTTTTAACTGACAGCCTGGCTGTTGCTTCCATCCTCATCAAACCTCCAGCGCTGAATACGAGCCATTACTCGGTCCCACTCAGCTCATCAGAGCACATCCTCTCATCAAATTAATGAACACATTTATTGTTAAACACGTTTTTATAAAACATTCATTCATTCTGTCTAATTAAAAGACCCAACAGGCCTGACATCACTTAAATATGCATACTTATCACTCACAGGCTCTGAATTAAAGATCCACAGGCGTGTGTGTGTGTGTGTGTGTGCGGGCGAGTACACTGTATATGTGTGCATGCGCTTGTACGGTGGCAGGAGAGAATGAGGCTCCCTAAGCAGGTCTTCTCACTCTAGGCTTAATGGTGATAATCATGGCGTGACCCAACATTAAGACCATGTGCGCGAATGTTTGTGTGTGTCCCACTCTCCCTAATGGTGACGATGATGACATATTCTCCATTAGACCAGTCAGTGGGCCACAGCAGATCTAGCATATTAATGACGCTGATGATGGCTTCTTTAATTACCTTCGTCTGCCGCTGCATGGCCTCGCTCCTCTCACAGATCTTTTTTATCACAAACTTCCCTACGCATGCCGCTGGGTTGTTTGTCAACGGCCGCCTGCATCGGAGCATGAAAACAACTTCAATTTTCAGCATTGGTGAAAGATTCTCACCCACCAGCCGGGTGGAGTCCAGCTGTCCACCCCACGGTATTGTAAAATATTGAAGAAACTCAGGCTTCGTTTTTTGGTGTGCAGACTGTAATCTGTTCATTTGCACGTATTCAGTCGTCTATTTTTATTCAAGTTTCTGATTTCAATCACAAAGTTTCCTTTGGATTTATTTATTAACGATTGTCTTCAATTCCGTCGTAAGATTTCTTCTACTCTCTGACATTGAAAAATAATGTGTCAGCCGAGGTTGTTCTTGGTAATATTCTGAAATTATTCGCACCTAGAAACTTCATTCTGCATTAGTGAGTTCTTGAGGTTGCAAGATAACTGGAGAAAAGATGCAAACGGTGTTGCAGCATCCAGGGCTGCTACACGTCTTAGAATAAAAAGATGTAAACAATGTTAGGGATTCCCATTTAGCAGACCGCCCCATGTTTAGTCGTCCGGGTGACCGTCATGCTACAGTGCTGAGCTGACCGGCAGCAGCACAAAAGAACAATTTTAGAGTTTTATTGTTGCTGTTTATTGTTTATGAGCTGATGCAGCAAGAGTTTGGAAAAACGCTACCAGTTGCTTTGTTATTCTTTCTGCCCCTTAATACAATGTTGGAAAATAAAATAATAGAGAGGTGAGAGGCATTTATTTATTATTTTCCACTACATGATTGATTTGTAGGAAACAATTTCTGCACACACAACTGCCAGGGCCGATCTCTTGGCCAAGGCCTTCCGTTCACTCTTTACAGTGAAGGAGACTGTGCTTGGTTATCATGCTATTCACATGTTCTCTTGCAGGGCAGCCTTTATATAACAAGTGGGACATGACATCTACTAAACCAAATATCAATTAACACCATTGCCGCTGTGGCAAAATGATTTAAAGAAAAACAAAACCTACTTTCGTGGGTTTTCATTTTCATATTAATAATCCTATCAATTCAAGCTTTATTCTTTGGTTTTGAGGATGGCTCTGTATAAAGTCGTCCTTCGTGATATTAAAAGGCTCTTTTAGAATTTGTGAAGAGGATTGAGGTGAGACGATCAAATGTTAGCCTTGAGTAATTACAATATCAGCAATCCTACTTATTTTTATTATCTAGAAGCCGTTGGATCAGTGGCATGTGTACTTTGTTAAGACTCATTTTCACACAAGTCAAATGCAAGTATGCAAAAAGTGAAGAGTCTCAACTTTGACTAAGTGAAAGAACTGAGAGAACAAAAAGGTTTCACTTATACTACTTTCTTTTCTATAAACCCATCGATAAAACTAAAATAAACGTAAGAGATGTTTGTTCAGTGGTTGGATTGGATTTTAACAATTGAAGGGAGGTTTGACACTAGACAAATATTAATGAAATGTAACTTCCCATCAGATCTAAAATGTGCATTATCTGTTCTGTGCATTTAGAAATGTTTTTGCTGGAGCAGAACTCGGGACGAGTGATAAGTGAATGTCCATCGGCAAAGATGGAAACCACTTTTAAATATCTACGCATCTACTGAACACGTTTTTCTCTTCCCCACCTTTTGCTAAAAGGACACCATCGTGTCTTACGTGGCCCTCGCAAACTCCCGCGTGGAGCAACTTTGAGTTTGGAGAACGGCCGTGTGACAGCTGAGAGGGACACGGAAAGTTATGGAGTCCGCCCCGTCCGTTAGATGAATTACACACGAATGTGGCTTAATGAGCTGTGTTGGAGGGTGATGGGACACGTAGACACGCATGCACACGCACGTCGCACAAATACAAAGGCCTCTCCGTGGTTAAATAGTCAGACAATTGGAGCACTTCTCTTTATTCATCAACTAAACAAATGAGCTTCATTTGTCTGTCCTCATTCCCGTGTGTGTGTGTGTGTGTGTGTGTGTACGTGTGAAGCGGAGTGTGTATTTGTGTGAAAACGGTGATGTAGTCTGGGTCATCTTGAGCTAATTAAGCCAGACTTGGGGCTTCCATCAGGTATAATGAGTCAGATCAACGACCAGATGAGAACGTTCCACAAACCAACTCTCTCTACCATCAAGAAAATGAAAATGACGAAGACTCACGGCTGCAAAGTTTCCCCCACACGGCCACATTTTGAATAAAACATCGTGTCTGTGATTGACACCTGCAAGTGTGTCAAAGGCGATTAGGTAGACTGCAACCTTTGGGAAGCTGAATCAGTGTCCATCAGCGACGGAGCGCCGAAGAAAAACGGAGGAAAAATAGATCGAATTACATCCCGCACTGTCGAACCCCCGCGTGCAGAATAAAGCGGCTTCTTGTGGTACCGTGTGGCCCGCCCGAGTGTACTTAAGCAGCGACCGGGCTCGTTTCTCTGATCGCCAGGCCGACTGGGAATGATTAGAAGCTCCTGTCTAATTGTATTTCTATGTTACGAGATCAAGAGTTCTAAAAAGTTCATGGGAATGAAAACATTCTCATAAACTTTTGGTATCTGTAAACTTCCCTACAAATGCTCATTAAAGCTGTTTGAAATCGTTTACTCCATGCTAAGAGGAGTTGAGGTAAACACACTAATGACTGTGATTGTGTGTGTGTGTGAGAGAGAGAAGGAGAAAGAAAGATAGTCTGTGTGTGTCAGAGAGCGAGAGGAGATGATCTGATCAGTCACAAACACGCCTCATGTTTACCACCATCTGAACTGGACTCATGCAGAGAGACGGGATCAAGTGAAGTCAGCGTGTGTGTGTGTGTGTGTGTGTGTGTTTGTCCCTCCCCGTGCATGCTGAGCGGCACACACGCAAGCACCACATTTACAGGAAAATAGCATGCAAATCCTTTTCTTCATATCAGAAAAAGAACACTGAACACACCTGGTAAACACAAACAGTACATTGATACAAAGACACACACACGCACACACGCACAGAGCTATGTGAGGATCAGCTACTGTGCACTGAGGCAATTTGTAATATAGATTTCCTCTATAGGCCACTGTAGTGTACCATTTACCATTTCAAACCCTTTGATTTTTTTCACTGGTGGATAATTCATCTTCTGCTGGTCAATAGCAGAGATTGAGACCTAATGAAGGAGTCACAGGCGGACGGGAGGGACATCACACACACTGGTGTTTAAACACAGTTTGGAGTCAAATTCATGGAAAAGCCCATCGGATGATGAAAAACGGGGGAAAACGGAAAGAACGCAAAGGAGAAGTGTGAGGGGATTATCAACGAGTGAGACAGCAGACCAGACACATATCAAAGACATGCAGATACGCGCAAACACACACACACACACACACACACACACACACACACACACACACACACACACACGCGCGCGCGCGCGCGCACTCGTCAAGATTTTACAACAAGTGTGGGAATAAACATCCCCCAAAAAACAACAACACGCGAGCAGTGTGCAGATCTCAGCCTGTTGCGTCTCCATCTTCCCTCCCAAACAACAAAGGAATGAAACTCACTCAATTATCCCTTCTGGCAGCCTTACATTCAAGATGGTGGCCAAGATTGAAAAAAAAAAAAGAAACAGGAAGATGTCATATTGTGAATAACTTCAGGTTAATGGAATTAATTACCGCGCATGCTGCGGTTCAAAACGGGTGTCAGTTTTTGAACCACCCCCTTGTGGCGTGACGGTGATTCACAATTTGAGCATGCGGCCCTATATGAGGCTGAAGGGTCCGTATACGGGGTTATCTGCAGACACACAGGCACACTAACAAAGGGCGTAAGCCCCAACTGAACCCTGGGCCTTCACTTGTTGTCGAACCCCACTAATGCTGAGAGAGAAAAAAACAAAACAGACGAGCCATGCAAGGGCGGAGTCAAGGAAGGAGTGAGGGAACAAAGGGGAAAAAGTAGGGAGGACGGGGCGAGTGAAGAGAGGGACGGAGGACGGGAGGAAAAACAAAGAAACAGAGGGATGAAAAAGAAAAAGGTGAAAGTATTGGAACGAAATGCAAAATCAAGATCCGAGGGAGCGCGGCTGTGCACAGGAGCTCAGGACGGAATTCAAAGTTTGTCCAATCTAAATGAACATCAGCTCCCCGTCCTGGCGTTACCCTTGATTATCCATTCTGCCTTTGTACGGCGGCGGCTCAGCTCTGACAACTGCTCTCCCCTGAGACGCCCTCCCCCTTCGCTCCCAGCCAGAACATTAAGGGAATATCAGGGAATATTACACCCAGGAATTAACGCTCCAAATCACCTTGCCAGGTTTAGGTCCCGCATACACCCCCCTCCTTCTCTTGGACAAGATAATCCGGGCTCTAGCGTGGGATATATGCCACTAATCATCAAAAAAGTGAGGGGGGGGGGGAGAGGAGAAGACCTTGGAGGCCTCAGGAGGAGAACATTTGCGTATTAGTGTACCTGTTTATGTAGTACAGTAGAGCCGCCTTATAAAAAAGGGGTTGGGTCACCTCCAAAGATCAATACGCCACCGGCCAGAAGGATTAGACGATTACGTGTAAGTGGCGTTAAGTGGTCAAATCGGTGTCACCTCACCTGCGCTGCGCTCCGAGCCGATTTCCAACGGAAGGTTTAGAATCATTCGCGCCGGCTTCGTTGCGAAGGCGTGGTTCATTTACCTGTTCCCGGGCTTCCCGTTTCTCCCGCTCCGCCTGGAGTTTGTGATCGACAGCATGCTGAAGATTCCTCCGGAGCGCCGCCACTTCTGTCTCCGGCCCCCCGTCCCGTGACCTGCACACGCCAACCACAACTAAATGGATCACTACACTAGGATTTGGTTAATAGCATGAATCTGTCGTTCAAATACTTTCACGTTCATTGTTACAATAAACCGTCCTGAAGACAAACGCATTTAAAGTATTTAATCCAATATGAAGTTTGTTGAATGTCAAGATCCCGTGGGTGCAAGTTTTAGGATGCCTGTGTGTGTGTGTGTGTGTGTGTGTGTGTGTGTGGCAGCCGAGCTAAGGGAATGTGAAGTGGATCAATATGAGGGGGTCTATTCCTGCCACGCAACTCTGCCTCTGTGTGTATGCGAGTCGGTTAGTGTCCGCAAGTGTGTGTGTACACGTGTGCGAGCAACTTTGTGCGTGCCAGCTGCCCCGGCTCCAGCGAGATCAATACGACAAATGATTACCATTTCCACAAACCTCCCTCCACAGCCGCGCTTCGGCCGCCGTGTGAGCCTCAGCAACCCCGCCAACCTTGTCCACACACACACACACACACGCACGCACGCACGCACGCACACACACATACACACACACACACACGCAGGCACCAAAACAAACTTGACCCGAGCCTCTAAGAGCAAATGAATATGAATATTTACATTATTTTGGCTTTTAGAGGCAAAGGGGACAGTGAACTAAAGATAGAATACTATAGATTTTAGAACTCAAGAACTCAATAAATAATGCAGTTTAATGGTTATCCATCTCAATACATGTTTTTTATAATTTTTTTGTTAATAATTTAGCATTATTATATATGGGTACTATAGCCTATTGTAGTATAATTGATAAACCTGCTTTCTGCGTTCATTTATTACTTCATTTATATAGCTTTCAAACTGTTGAACTCTAGGGAAAAGAGCGGCAATAAAATAATATTTGTTGCCAATACATTTTTGTTATCAATCAATTAATAAGCAAATGAGTGGGTTTTATTTTTGTACTTGGAAAGACAAATAAGTGCTGTATTCATTGCGAAATTAGCAGTTTTAAGGCGATACCCAGCAAAAGCATGTGCATTTTAATGAATTCTCTTTTAAATCATTAAAATATACATCTATTTACATTCTAAAATGTCAGTACATTATAGGTGACTCGCGTGTCTGTGGCTAAATGTTCAGATTAATTTGCTACGCGTTTCATAGAGTAACTCAGTGGTAGTAAAAGCTCAGGAAGAACGGAGAGAAAATGCCTGATAGATTGGCCCACGGGGGGAGGGGAGGGAGGAGGGGGGGGAGACGATAGGATGAAGAGGCAAAGGGAAGGAAGAGAGGAGGCATCCTGTGGAGAAAGGAGGGGATTTCCCACAGCACAGATGGAAGCCATTAGTATGGTGTTGTTGCTTAAAAATCTTTCATGTCTTTGCAGTTATTAGATAATACTGGGTTGAACGGTAAACAGCATGATTCTGTAAATGGATATAATATGCAGACACTGGGATTGTTTTACCGTTCACTACCTAAATTGGTTTAAATAAAATGTAATAATTCAGAATGTCGCCATTCAAATTGTGGGCTCAAGATGAAAATGTTCCATGGTTCAACTTAACATTTAAAATTCCCACAGTTCTCGCCGCTGCAGTGAGGTCACGGCGCTCAGCTGCAGCCACGGCCGCAAATATGTGCGCACAAACAGACGCACACAAACACACTCTCTGCTGGGTGATACGCGCTTGCTGATGTCATCAACGCGGCTCCGGTGACACGGCGCGGTCAAGCGGGGGGGGTCTCGCCTCTGAACTTTGAACTCTACGACCCTAACAGCTGCTCACCCACCACCGAGTCCCATCAACACACATTTTGACATTTGTTAAGATTCACTTCTGGAGCAGAACTTTTTTTTTTTTTTTTTTCCCGCTGGGATCTCTCTTTTAGAAACAACACAAAGTTAGGCATTGTGCTTTGAAGACTCTTTTCAAAATGTGTGTGTGTGTCTAGAGCTTAGGGCTGTTCTGTCCGACACATGTTCACTTTGTGAAGCCTACTGTACGCCGCCTGCATAAAAGCTAAATGTTTTTGATTACTGACTTTTTACTCAGGGGACCATGGGAAATGGGATGAGAGAGGGAAGCTTCTGTCCCTCTCTGCCGCTCTCCGTTCGTACCTTATTTTCTCCTCCGCTAGCTTTCCCTCATTCAGCCGCCCCTGCATCCGCCTCGCCTCCTCTGCACGGGTTGCCAACTCCTCCGCTGAGCAGGGGGGAGGGGGAGGTGGGGGGGTAGTGGGGGGGGGGAGACAGGGGCGGGAAAGTGTGAGATACAGAGAGCAACTGTTCACTTCAAACGCTGTTGGGTTAAGATTCGCTAAGAGGCCGCGTGAGAGGAAATATGTCCATTCTGACTGAGATATCACATTGTTGGTTCAATGTGTTTTCTAATTCAGTTCAAGAAAGAAATACATAACAAAAACAAAAAAAAATGGTAAATTCATATTCATACACAGAGTGCGTTCTCCGACAGGCCGAGGATTAAAGAACGTTTTACAGAAATTGATTTCATTTCAAGTTTCAGACTGAAAAAAAATCGGAGGCCGCGAGCCGCCTTTTCAAAGCGAGAAGCAAACCCTTCCGCGGGAGAAGCGCCGGACGCCTCTCGGAGGCGACGCGGCGGCCCTTCTGTTGAGACAGACGGACAAAAAGAAAAAAGAAGAGCAGCGCTCTCCCCGACTTTGTCAATAGATGGCACTCTTTACCTTGAGCACGCCACTCGAGCCGCTGACCGCATCCCTTCAATCACGTTCCCTTTCCAGCCGTCCCCTCCGTCGACATCAACTAAAAAACCCCGCCGTCCCACACTTAGTAATTTAGCACATTGAGTGGTTCCTTGCTTACGCGCGGGGCCTTTTTAGTTTGAATTTAAAATTTGGGCTTTGCCCCCCTCTCCCCCTCTCTCTCCCCCTTTTTCTTTTTGTTCTGTATCCTGTTTTGTGAGTCAATGTTTCTTCGCAGCTCTTAAAAACCTTTTCACTACATTCAGTATTCATTGAATATAACATAAACTGTCAGCCATCGGTGGTCAAGGCTGGTGAATATTGAGGAGGTATGTGCGCTGAATATGTAGCGGTGCGCTCCTGACTGTGTGTTTGTGTGTGGGTTGAATATTTACAGGACGGACCTTGACTTTTTGGTGTGCACGTGCGGGTGAGTGTGTGAAATAGAAACAGAGAAATGCTCAGTGTGTTGCTGTGATGCTTTTAGGGCCACACTGTGATGATAGTGGTGGGACAGACTGAAGAGGGGGGGCTAAAACCAATACCGGTATGAAGGAAAAGCAGAAAGGAAAATCTACATTTAATAAAGCCATGATTCATTCATGGCTTTGCTGTATCCAAACTGTTTAAACTGAAGCCCCAGGAAAATTGAAGCCGCAACTGGAATGCTAAATATTTAACGACGCAAAAGCTCTTTTATTTGCGTGTGCCTCTACCGTGGCTATTTGCCTAAATCTCAAGGTGAAGGTTTGTTATGAATCTCAATAATCGATAAAGCAGAGATGTGAAAACTGGAGTCGGCCTTAGTTTTGAGGTGACCTCAGTGACGCGTCCCACCAGGGGAGGCCACAGAGAGAGCAATTAGCTGCACCGGCATGCACCCGAACACACACCCCAAAAATTACGAGAAAAGGACAGACCGAGCTGCATAGGAACACGAGAACACGCCGAGGTAGAAAGCAGTAAACAAACAGACACACACTAGGAGTTTACTTTGGACCAGGTGGGCTGTGTGGTATATTTAGCTTAGTTTGATGACCACATGCAGCCAACGTTTTCCACATTAAAAGAGGAGCCGCAGAGGAGTGTGGATTTCAATCAATTCTTCTTAATAGCTTAAAATAGATGCTGCATTTCCACACAATGGGACGACACGGCTCTACGTAGCGCCCTTTTTCTTGGTTATACATGAACAAATGTTCTGTGTATTCAGATTTTATTTTTATTTTTCAAAACCTCTTCTTCTCTTCTCTTCTATCGAAGATCCGAGTGAGCCGAGCCGTTGAAGATGACGGCAGACGGTTTAATGCTGCCATGGCGATCAGGTGGGCCCGATCTGCCCACACCGAGGAGGTACTATCAACAGACTGCAGAGCCGAACCATGCGGCCGGAAACGAGACGCGAGATCTTGGGTCTCTTACTTTCTTGACCCTTTTATACCGGCTTCACCACGTGAGGTATGACATTAGTTCATAATCTAATCTCTCCTTCATGAAGCGCTTCAAAGCCGCCATACAGCATGGGTTCATAATCACAGATCTGCAGTCAGATTACCCCGCTTTCGTAGCTAACCTTTAACATGAGAGGGACGAGAACCCGGCTAACCCTGAATCAGTGGTTGCGGCTGGGCCGGGCCCTTCCTGGCCCTCATAAAAGCTTCATAAGGCTTCATAGGGGCTTCCTTTGGCTTTGTTGGGGGATTCGTAGCGGGCTGAGGTGCTCCCGAGAGACGTCCCAAAGCCTCCCAAGACTCACTCCCTCTCTTTCTGAAGTTTCATGGGCTTGCAACACTGCTTTTGGGTATAAGCCAAAAGGTGCACAGCCGCACACAGTCATGCACACAAATACAAGAAGAAGAAGGAGAAAAATCATATGCACACAACAGTGAGCACTAACAAAAGACAAAGAGCAACACACACCGGGGGAATCTAGAACCCAAAACACACACATGCACCCCAACACACTCCCCTCTTGCTCTCTCCCCTTCACTTTATTTACAATCCTCTGGCAGCGGTACAAGGGCCCGGGGCTATAACACACGGCACCTAATGCTCAAACTGCCAGGTAATCTCATGTCTGACATCCCCCTTTGATAGAAACTGATCAATAGACTCTTGTAAAGGAGTCATTTTCTCTGATGTTTCTACCAACCACTTCTCTCTCTCTCTCTCTCTCTCTCACTCTCTTTCCCCCTTCTCCTTTATTAGCCATACATTTATAATTCATATTTCAGCGGGCCGAGTTTACTGTGAGACAAAAAGGGGGGGGGTCTTCTTTGTGTAATAAAGAACAATGGTGGTGAAATGATGGGGAGAAATGCCGGTGTTTGCTGCTGGTTCCGGTGAACAACAGTTTTGGGGATCGATAGAGTGTGAAATGGGATTATAGCTAGTAATAGAGGTGAATTGGAGGAGAGAGGCATGTGCATGTGTGCGACCAGGGATCCAGATTGGATAGCAGCACACACACACACACACACACACACACACACACACACACACACACTCGCACGCAAACCCAGACACACAAACACAAAGGCAGACAATAATGATTTCATCATCTTTAGGCAGATGCACATCAGCAGCACAGAGGGGTGGTAATATCACATTTCTGTTTTTGAGGAAGTGTGGAAATATGGATATTGTGTTTTTGTTTATGCTGTTATTTCATTTGTGGTCACAGGGCATTATATTTATTTCACATTACAGCCGACCTTATGATACATCTTATTTCAGATGTAAGATGACACCATCATCATATGTATTGTCTTGCTTGATTTTCCAAAAGCATTAACCATCCATTACTGTAGATAAGACACACTGTTTTCTGTGAATTAGATTAATAACACAACTTTTCTATTTATTTGTCTGAAGAAACGTCTTTCAAAAATCCCATAATGTAAATGCAATTTACTGCACGTATGCAAAGCAGTGGCGGGTCCTCTGCACGGTGGCGTTTGGTGTCATGTGATTTCCCTTTCAGAGTGACGTTACATTTGACACATTCAGTCATGAGCCGGGTTTAAGGATTTTTTCCCTCTCATTTTTAATCACCCTCTTCTTTCCTGTCGCTGCGTCCACAGTCAGATTGAATCCAGCTGCCTTCTGCTGCTTCAATCTCATCCACATGACACTTCTCGGGTTCCCAACCCATCCCGCGTTCCTTTCGCCCAGTGGACATCCCCTCCAGCTGGCCACAGACGCCTTTTAATATAATATCCATCCCAATCCAAATGACTTGCTATGTAAACGGCCAGTTAAACGTAGGAGCCACCAAACGTGTCACCCGTCTCACAGCACCAAAGTACCAAATATATAACACGTGTAAAAAAATTCAGTAATAATCAGTTGTAAAAATGTACTAAAGTACTAAAATGAAGCAATGAAGCAAGGTTACTGCTGTTTTTTCCTCATTCTTGTCTTTGCAGTCCGACAATCTGCATTCTAACCTGTTGTTGTCACAATCGCAGACCAGATCCACTGTTACCAAGAATCTCCACTCAAGATGTTGTTTTATGACAGAAAGCGCCTTAACAAAGGCTCCATGTTAATAATAAAAAAAAAGGCCTTCTGTCTGCAACAGTTATTTCCAGTCTATTCAGCCTACTGCGATATCCAGGTAAACAATGCCCCCTTTGTTATAACAATGCACCTTTTCCCTTCTTAAGTCATTACAATAGGCTCTGCGTTGCTGGATTGTATTTGCTGAAGGTAAAAGCTGAATATCACGCTGTTTTGTGTGGAGCGCGGAGTTGAGGGAATGGGTTTTGATCACAGACAAAGGCCAAGCTACACGCCGTTGTCCTTCTGTCTCTATCTTGTTAATGAGCAGTGTTCAGCGAGCAGGCCAGCCACTCTCTGCCGCGGAGAAAGACCTCAGATTCATCTCTCTGCGGACAATAGGTGAGAGTGTGTGCGTGCGCACGCGCGCCGTCTGTATTTGTACCCTCGGAGAGCACGCGTGTGTGTGTGTGTGTGTGTGTGTGTGTGTGTGTGTGTGTGTGCTAATTAAAGCGCTGGGAGTTGGGAGGAATGGCTGCGTGTGCGCGCGCGAGAGAGGGGTTTGCCTGGCGTGACCGTAGATGTGTACGTTAATTCTTAATGAGACGTTTCTGTGCCCGGCGAGACCCAGACGTCACCATTCCTGCACTGCCGCACTACTACAAAGGCCACCGGAAGGCACGAGCGCACACACACATAAACTAGATCATTACCATACCGCCAAAGCAGTGTGCCATTAAATCAAACCTCTATCCACACTGTGTGTGTGTGTGTGTTGGAGCTAACATTGCGTGCAGACAGATAGCAACCGAATCACCAAATAGCTGCACCACTGCTGGCTAATTCAAGCTCAATGATTGAGCTAACAGCAGTGGGGCTCTGTTCCAAATAAGAGGCAGCGAACACTGTAGAGCTTCTCTAACGTCTTAGTTGTACAGGCCCATGATATAAACGCTCGTCAACATAGAAATTAAGGATTTGGGCAAATAAACTGTAAATGTACACAATTCGTGTATGTGCTAAAGGGACGGATGGATGGATGAAATGAGCGACTGATTTATTGCCCGGTTGCTACCTGTCACTTGCGGCTCGCTGCGCGGCTCCTCCAGCTCTCGACTCAACTGCCTCCTCATTCTCTCCTCCGCCTTCAGTAAGTCCTCCTGAAGTCTCTGCACCTCCTCTCTGTGCGCGAACCCATCGCCGCTCCGCCTCGCCGCCGCTCTCCTGACCTCCTTCAGCTGCTCCTCTGACTGTCGGCCAAGTGCCATATGAACCTGCAGTATAAGTAAGGGCATAAGAGCAATAGTGGGTAAGGGACTGGGGTTTTTCATGCGCACACACACACACACGCGGTGTTGAAGCATCTTGCAAGATTGTGTCAAGAATGAATTTCACACTTTCCGTGAAAAAAGGGGCCTAAAGTGTGTGAGTGACAACTTCTCATTCGTTATTGATTCCCTTCTTACATTTGCTTTAACCGCGGGAAGCCTTGACTGAAACGTTTGCCTCTGCCGTACAGCCAGAGAAATGAAGGCATCGCTTCAGAGGCAGACTTGAAAAATCATGTTTGAATTATTTTGGTCCAAGGTGTTTGGAAGGGAAACGGCAGCAAACTCCACATAATCCAAACGTATTGAAACGTCCGCCCGGACGGCCACTCCATCATGTACACTTTACCAGCACGAGTAAACCTCGACGCACTATGTGACATTAGGCCGAAGACCTGAAGGCCAGAGGAGAACATACTACAGTTGCATGTATATGATGTTGTTGGCAAGCAACACGTGTGTGACACTTGTGTGCGCGCCATAGGACACACAAGTGAATGCGTAAAATCAAATGCCCCCATTTGCACCCAGACCACACACACACACACACACTCGTGACTGATGAGACAATAAGTGGCAGCGATGTTGGCCCTCTGCCAGCCTACAGTCGCCACTTTGAGTGATTTTAATGTTTAGTGTCCCATTGAGCTCTTAATTGGACTCAATTTCACCAGGCTTGGCACATTCGGTGCATTAATTAATGGCGAGGCGATTCGTTTCTGCCAGGCAATGCCGCGGCAATCACATTAGTGGTGGGTGGGTGTGTGGTGCCCGTGGAGGTGGGTGGAGTGCTCCTTCTCTGGGAACTTGGGATTGAATCTCCAGCTCCATGTTCAGATGCATGCACGGGCAACATTCAGGGGCAGAATATGAGACAACAAAATAACAGGGCTTTCTATAAATGACAGGACAGGGCAGCAGATATAAATTATTTTAATACCTTTTGGGTGTCCGCCGGCTCACGCCTTACGGCTGCCACTTCCTTTTTCAGATGTATCACTTCCTGTTCCAGTTGGATGCGATCGCTCATGTTTGCACGGCGGGAAGCAACGGAACTTTGCCTCCGATCTGCTTCTCGCCGGACCCTACGGGGAGGAAAGCAAAGACGGGCAGGGCCCTTAAAATACACAGAGAGTAGAAAGATGTCTACAATAAGAAAACAATAAACCGGATAACAAGCATAATTAATAGAAAATGATTTCATGAGATCATTGTGTTTATTGGTAATTGTAGTGTGCTACTGTGTGCCAGTTTGCATGCAGGCAGTTAGGGGAATGAGAGAGAGGGGGGGCGGGGGGCGCTGTGGCCGATGGGAAGGGCACCAGAGGCGAGACAAGGACAGGAACCGGGATCAGCAGAGGACAATGAGAGTTTTATAGACTCAGTTATTACTGTCTCTCCAGCTCCGACTTCATCTGAAGAATCGCCTTTTCACACTCGGCAAGGCGCACAACCTGCTCGGTGCAGCGCTGAAACACACACACACACACACACACACACACACAATGTGGGTGCTGGAATGTAGCCATGTAATGCATTTCATTCTCTATAAGAGAAATTCTTGAACATCATTCCATCCAGAATCATGAGCGTTGTTTTAGATTATAGGTAGATGTAAATGCCTCCTCCAAATTGTTGCCACACGATGTGTCTGTGACTACAGACTATATTCAATGGCCAAGTGCAATGGAAATAAATAGTCTGTAATGCGTAACCTTAATGTTCACAACGGCATAAGGTATAACAGCACCTTGTGTAGCTGCTCTCTGTGCCACTGCTCATCACAACGACTCTGTTGGTGCAGCTGTCGGTCGCACTCCAACATCAGCTTCTGTGAGTAGAGGGAGCCGGTGAGATGGGTAGAGGAAAGAAGGAAACCTGTTAATATTTCATATAATACAGCATATTTAAACTTGTATTCTTTATTTGGATCTTTCAAAAAGTGTTCGCTATTCTTCCACACAAAAGCAATAACAATAAAAGCTGTTCAAAAACAGTGTCAATGAAACAAGAAAAGACAAAAGACGACAAAAGCCAGGATCGGTAAATAACGGAAATGGCACTAAATATGAAACAATTAACCATGGTGACCTACAATGGAAATGAAAACCAATAAAAAAACAAGCCCAAAAGATCGGAATTAATTACATTTCAACAGATGATCATTATATTTGGTTTTCTAATAAGTGACAATGACCTTGATGTGCCACCAAGTAAATACATCATTACGTATTGCACTCAGTTGTGAATGGATTTGTTGCACTGTAGCGACAAATCCGGCCTTGATTTTCCTCGTACAGCAGACAAACTTACAAAAAATAACACGTGACTCTAGTGCTAGAAACTACACGGAGGCAATGGGTGGAGAAAGAATATCGTAGCAATGTTCCCTTCATTACAAAGGAACGTCTCCTTGGAAGAAAGACCTTCTGGCTCATTGTGTTTTCTAAATGTAACGCTAAACGTATCACGGGCCTCAATCTTTGTCTGTTAACTACTCTTTTATGTAGGCAAATCATGTCACTGATTCAAAAGTGGACCTTTATAGAAAAGGAGAGGAAATCCACATCTTATAGAATTCATCTATACGTTGGGGAAATAGATCAGAATTTTCATGGACTAGAATAGAGACAGCATTACAACACTATACGGAGTACGATTTTTTTTCTCCCACTTGTGGTCAAACAAGATTCTACATCCATATTCTTATAAATTGGAGATTTCTTGTATACAGGGAATTAAGACGTTAGTGATTTTAGAGTTAGCTGAGCACAGTTGCACGAGGTAGAGAATTGGCAGGATGCGAAGCCCCATAAGAACTCCTAACCTCTTGATAGGCGCCTCACAATCAAAGTCATTAGCCAGTGTAATAAAGGGCCTGAGATACAGCCATTCTTCAGCAGCCTAACTCTTTTATAACCAACAGATTAAAGTTGATTGGATTAAAATGACATTCTGCCCGTCTGACCTTGGCGGCAGCAGTTAAGTTCATCCAAATTAAATTTCTCCGTAATAAAGATGATTCATTTGTTGCCTGACGTAGTAAATATAAAGCAGAAAGAAAAAGGAGAAAAGATTAAGTGACACGCTCCAGTGGTCACATGCACACACACACACACACACACACACACACAAAGGCCCGTGCATGCCCTCACACACCACTGATGAAGCTGGCAATCACCTGGGAGCTCACGTAAGAACACAGACGCCCGTTGGGCCTCACCTAAACGCCGCCACTACAAATCGTCCCGTTCGACAACGCTGCCTTCGTAAAGAACAAATAAATCGAAATGACTGATTCACATGGGAGTATTTGCAGGATGGATATGTGGCTACGTTGTCGTAGCCATACGTCGTGTACGCAGGCGTGTTTGTCCCGACCTGCTGTTTGATCGTGTCCACCTGCTCCCGCATGGTTTCCACTAAGCCTTTAAGGTGGTCAGCTCTTTGTTGACTCTCCCTCAGGAGGGTCCGGCTCGCCAGGAGTTCATCCGCCAACTGGTCTAAAGCCTCCTGGGCGTTCTCCCAGTGGCCGACCTTCTCCAGATACCGCTGCTCCATCCCAGCGAGCTCCTCTTTCGCTGAATGCGCGGCCAATTGGGAATCTCGAAGCTGCCCCCCCCCCACACCCCAAAAAAATAAAGGTGATTAAGTCAATGAGCGAAATTTAGAATGTGGTTTTGAAAAAGGATTCATTCATGTCTTGTTGAAAAATGGTAGCCTACGTATTTAGAAGAGTTACAGTTGCATGCAATAATGATAATATGCTGCTATGGTGTACCTGTTGCTGTGAGTACTGTAGTTCCTCTTTCAATAGCTCCACCTGTCCTTGCACCCGATGCACCTTCTCCATGGCTGCGTTGTACTTTTGTCTAAAAATGGCTATGGTTTCCTTCTGCTCCCGGGCTCGTAAACCTGCGTCTCTTATCACCTCCTCGGCTCCTTTCAGCTGCTCACGGAGAATTTCCATCTCAACCTCCTGCTTCTTTAGCTTCCCTCCAAATGTCTCGACCTGAGAGCAAACGCGGCGAAAGTTAAGCACAGATGATGAGAATAAACCTTCGCTCTGTATTTAAACGGTAAACAGGCCTTGCCTGAGGGTTTGGTATCGTGACCAAAACAAAAGGTTGCACTTTTATGAAAAGCAGCATTTCGTGTCCTCTAATCTATAAGCGACACACACCTTCACCACAAGAAGGTGGCGTTAAAAGCAGCGGGAAAGCTTAATGAAGGTACAAATAAAGAAAGCTGGTGGAACATTTACAGCGACAAGCAACTTCATCGTGAAGCTACACAATCAAAGAGTGAAACACCTCACGGTGATTTTACATGCAGTAAAATAAATAAAAAATGGTGGTAGATTAGTTTGTCTAATATGGTGCAATACATCGTGCTGCTCTGCAGTAACCCCACTCACAATGAAAGGGGAACCCAGGAAGTGAAACCAGGCTTAATCCCGGTGTCACACAAGGAATCCTACCGTGGCTCACCTTTCAAGGGGGAGCGTTGGAGAAAGTTAAACCCGCTCCAGCACTCATCTCGAGTTCATCCACGTTAATCCCACTGTAATCTGGATCAGAACATCGGGGGTTTACGACTAATGACAGCCAACTAGTTAGATTTCAGCGGTTCACCGCGGCTCGGTTTAACCAGGGATTAGCTGTGCCCGTCTAGCACCAACTCGGGGTGGAAGGCAGTGCGACTGGAAAGACACGCAAGCCACAGGAGAGGACGGAGCAGCGCCATCAACTTTTATTCTCTAGCTCGGAGTCAAAACCGAGGGGCCTGCGTGGGTGCGTGGATGTGTGTGCGCGGACCTGCCCCACGTGCACTCAACTCTATTCTAGTGGGGTGGTGAATGTTTCACCTGAGGGTTACAAAAAAACTCATAAGTTGTCATATGCCAACTTTACTTATTACAGCGACACTGTAGATGTTACTTTAGTATTTATCTCCTTTAATGCTTCCACTGCTGTCCGAACGCTAATGGAGGATTCGGCATTTCCTCGCGCCCGCTGGATGAAAGGCTTTATGAAAAGGGCCTAATGGGAACACCACGGCTTTCTTGTGACCATAATAAGGAGCTTGTGCTTTGAGGAAACAAACAGCCCTCATTAAACATGATAGGAAACGTATCGCTTTGACCCTCATTTTGCCCGGTATTTCAGTATCCATTGCTGTCACATGACTACCCCGAGATGACCCTCGTTTGATTACGCCGTCATTCTCCTCTACTTTGTGTTCTCAGCCTCGCGGCCCCGTCCTTCCCTCTCTGCACACACTGCGAGCAATCGGAAGTGAGAGGTTGACAAACAGAGCGGTCATTTTGTCTTGTTTGGGAGCTCAGATGATGCCAATGGGGGATTTATCTAAATGGACTACAAAATAAAACTTGACTGCTGTAAACGGGGTCAGTTTATTGTTCTTGGCAAAAGTCTGACTGGTTGATTTTCTACTGTGATATAAATCATGGCGCATAAGTGCATGCAATTTTTTTCTCTTGATTTAGTTCCCTGGATTAAACGCAGCAGATCGCAATGCTGCAGATTGACAACTGAGCACACAAAGGACTCGCTGCCTCAGCGGCTACGCGGCGCCGACTCGAACCGCCTTTGAGCTCCCGTGACCTTCTGACCGAGAGTCGGCGCTCAACCGATCTCCCGCGCGGGATGGGCGGAGGCGAGCGAAGGTGGAGAGGAGAAGAGAGGACGCTCGCTCACCTGTTGCCGACCAACGCGGAGCTGATGGCGTAGCCGCCGCTGTTGCTGCTTCTCTTTCTGCTCCATGAGGCGCTGCATCCCTCCGGCCTCTTGGCTGAGCGGACACGACTCATCCTGGTGACCTCCGACCTCGTGTTTCAATGGTCCCACCTCCTCCTGAGAAGAAGGTATAATGGAAAACGATGGAAACGGTGTACAAAAGCAGACAGACAGAGAGAAAAGGCAGCGAGGGGGGGGGTGGGGGGGGTCGGGCTTGAGTCAGAGACTTTCCCAGTTTAGTCTCGGGACCAGTTGGGAAAAAATGTGGGTCACGGCAGACATGAGTGAGTAACGATTTCCCCTTTTCCTCAGCACCGACTTTCGAGGAGCCTTTGAGCAAAGTGCTGCACCTCCCACAGCAGTAATGGAGCTGCTCAGTAGCCAACTGCACAAAAACTGTTCGGTTCGGGCTCTTCCCTTGAGTGGGTTTGTGTAACTCTGTGGGGGTAAACCAGGTCATTGTTGGAAGAAAGGCAGAAAAAAAAAAAAAAACACAGGGGTGCCCACTCAACCGAGCCTCAGCACATCAAAGGAATACAACAGCAAATAGTAAGACGGCTTGAAAACCCATGCAGGCTACCTGGAATGAAAGATAAGCCCTGAAACAAATTTTAAACCCCAACATGGAACGAATGTGAAACCTAGTGCATGCGTCTCACGGAAACACATCTGGAAAATAAAAGGTTGGACCTGCAGGTGTAAGGTCCTGTTGTCATGGACCTTCTCAGCCTCCGGTGTCTCTTCGTTCTGGATGCCGTGGTCAGACTCTCTGCTCCGGCCCCCCGTCTGGGCCCCCTGCTCGTCCCTCTCCCCGCTCAGGTCCCCCCAAGGCCTAAGATCCAAACGCTAGTTATCACCCACATGTGGATAATGAAAGAAACGTTTAAATGACCTTTAAAGAACACCCTTGAATTCACAAGTAATACAGTATTATTTCGAGGAACACCCACTCAACATTATCTAATGTGCATTGTATAAAAATAGTAATAAATTCAGTTTAAATTTTAATTCCACAATCAAATTAAAACTCCAATAACTACATTAGGGAATCAACAATCACATTTTCCTTTAACCCAGTTACCATTAATATGAATCATGAGCATTCAAATTTCAATTTGGGGAAAAATAAAGATGTTGTCTTTACCTCATTTTGACATTCAGAGTGCCGCATCTTACTCTCGGTGAGCTCCCTCACCAGCGCGCACGTCCTAATCTCCCTCTTCTGAATCGGGGAAAAAATAACACATCATAGTTTTTGTTCAGGTTAAAATATTTATTTTTAATGCAAAGTACAGATGCTCTTTTTCATCATGTTTCCTTAAATCTCAGGAAACAACAGAATTCCGGGTGCCGGTTACAAAATTGAAGATTAAATGATCCCGTCTTGTTTCACGTATTTGTGTTTGAGGTGGCAGAGAAACGTTTTTTTGCTTCTCTTGAGTTTGTGTGTTTCCATGGTGACCCTCCCTATTTAAATCAGTAATACGCCAGGTTTGTGTGTGTGTGTGTGTGTGTGTGTGTGTGTGTAGGTGTACATCAATGTGGTTTTCATGCTTTTCCTGTTTAAGCTCAGTTCCAATGTCCAGATATCTGCCGGTGTGCTGTTTCATTTTGAGCCAAACAGGTACTACTGGGATATTTTTGTAAAAGCACATATTTCTCACAAGTTTCTTTAATAAGATGGGTATTTCTTTAAGCTTTCAGACCGGTTATCTTCGGAAAAGTGGACCCCCCCCACCCCGTGTCTGGTAGTCAGGGAACCAGGACGCTGGGCTGTTGTAATATTGAAGGTTAGTTCAACTTCTCCATGTACTAAAATCCCAGCCCTATAGAAATCTAAATAAAATACAAAAGTGATATAACTATTAACAATGGAGAAATTGTACTTTTCAGTCTTCTTTGCCTCTGCTTTCGATTTATATACAAACACATTCCTTAAAGCCAAACCGAGTCGAACGCTCCCTCTTTCCCACCTCCTGTCCTTCCTGCATGATCCAGCGATTGTTATGACCAGAGTTGAGGGCTCGTTTGTAACTGTTCCCGGGGATTGATGGAGTTAACTTGGCTCTTTGACCTCTCACCTCTGGCTGTCAGCGGGCCAGGCCCGCTAAACACACTAAACCTGAGCTACGGGGGGAAAAACACACACACACACACACACTGCCGTGCGCATAGCAGCTAAATCACAAATGAGCGCTGGCGTAAACGCGCACAGGCTCTTTCAAATAGGTCGCGCCCTGGACAGGAATAATGAAGGTTGTGTTCGGGTTTTCCGTGGAAATTGGATGAAATAGAACGAACTCGCAACAAACGCCATTGGGACAAATACAAAAGTTGTTCCACTTAACCGTCGCAAACGCAACACTTACTTCCTGCCAATTTTGAAAATCTCGGTTTGAATCATCTTTGAGTGTGTGCACGCGCGTGTGTGTGTGTGTGTGTGTGTCCCACGTGAGCGTGTGATAGGCAAAGTGCATGTTGATAAACACCGGAGGACGTCGTGTCAAAACAGACAACTTGTCAAAACGACAAGCTAACTAGGTCAATCACAAAGTTTAAGGAGAAACTTTGGAGTGGAGCTTTGGTTTATGCATATCTCCGCGCGGATGTCTACTCGCGCGTGATAAGCCTCTGAACGGATCTGCAGGAGGGGACCTCCAATATCGAAGGTATTTTTAAATCAATGAGCTCTTAAGTGTATCTCGGTCTCAATGTGTTCACACATCCGCACGCACACACAACACTCAGACGCAGACAGAATCCCTACTGACAGGCAATGACAAGATAAAGAGAGGGAGAAATAAAGGGGGGGAGAGGACGACAGGAGGGGGAGAAATAATATTTGAACAGTTGGGTGGGGGGGGGGTAGTGGGAGGGGTGGGAGGGAGGGTTGGATGAAAGCGAGAAATGGCAAAGGGAAAAAAAAAAGAGAAAAAGAAATGAGCAATAAGAAAGATCTAGAGAGAAAGCGGGGAGAGAGAGAGAGAGAGAGAGAGAAAACAGGAAGCCATTGTGATGGCGGTGGAGCTTTGTGAGGACGCTTGTCCCGGTCTAACCTTGAAGGCCTGACCAACCTTCCACAACGCCGCTTGCTTACCTCCCGCTCAGCTGCTCTTTTGTGCCTCCTTTCAGCTCGGCTCGCTTTGTCCATTCAAACAAACGGCGTTGATGATAAACAAAGTGGTTGGACTTCGCCCGCTCTCCTTCTCTACAGTAAAGCGGAAACGAAAGGTGCTCGAGGTTCTTGCTTTGAATGGCCTCCATGTCGACATGCGTTAGCATTAGCTCGTCCTTGTAATACCGCTCAGGCCTCAAGGGGAGCCAGCGAGTCACTCTCTCGTCCGGTCTGCCGTCACTTGTATTTGACCCGTATTTCTGCTCAGTTCTCCATCTTTACACTCCATTGGATCACAATGACCCCTGACCCCTGACCCCTGCAACTTGTCGGCTTCCTCCGTCTCGCTCATTCCCTCCTTTTCTCCCCTCTTGTGGACGTATACGACGTGGACATTTAAGAGAGGAGCCTCGAGAGCAGTGACTTTTGGTTCCCCGAAGATGAAGCAGATCGTCCCCCGACAAAGCCCCCCCCCCCCCCTTCATGTTAATGGCTTTCGCTGCTCTCAAGTTCCTCAGTGGGGGAGTTTGGAACACTTTTACCACATGTTAAAACTACAGCGACATGTGCGCATTTGCTAGGGAGATGATGTGTGAGAGATGGAGAGAGCGACTCATACAGATGGAGAAACAAGTAAAGAGGGGCAGAGGCAAATGAAGCACAGAGGATTTATAAGACGTTAATGACAAGTGTTAAAAATGTTACTTTAACGCAAAAAGGCACAAACATCTGCTGCTATTTTGTGAACTTTCCAAGTCATTGTCAAAGTTTACTCAAAAAAATAGAGTGCAACAGCTGGTCTAAATGGACATGTTTACACCCCAAGAGCCAAATCCATATTTCCCAGAGAAAATTTTTTTATATATATATATATATATATATATATATTACTCATTTTCTACAGAAAACGCTAACGCTTTCCTATTCTTCTGAGTGAAAGAGACACAGTGCGACAGGCAGAGAGCAGAGAGTGAATGAGCCGAGTTGACTGCAGATGAAGTAGCGTGTGTTGACAGTATTTGTTCAGCTGTGATAATGTTAGGACATTTAGCTCTGCAGAGGAAAACTTCTCTCACTTTCACTTACAGTACATTCGAGTGGGAGCAAGCAGCCTCACTCCACCGCTACCACTGTCCATACAGTAATGGAATGAAGTGTGCACGAGTGCATGCAGAGCTGTGCGCGTGACTTTGTGTGTGCGAGTTTGTGTGTGTGTGTGTGTGTAAGAGAGAGAGAAAGACAGAGCGCTTGTAATAGATCAGAGAAAGAACAGTTTGGGTGCGTAAAGCAGCACCAGATGTGCAGCAGAAACCAGATCCCTGGACAGAACGTAATGGTCCATCCGTTGACTTAATCAAATCCAAACATGACGGACACAACCTCACACACACACACACACACACACACGCAAACAGACACGAAGCATACTGTAGCTAACTGCACACACGCATGAACAAAGGAAGAATTGACCAATCCCTCATATTTGTTGCACCTGTGAAATTTTTCCCATCCTGCAGGATGACAGCTGAATTAATGTGCACTCCACGGCAGAGTGAATAAAAAGAGGGCAACAACATTTTCTAAAACCTTTAATGAGGATACAAAACCTTTGTTGTCATATAGCGTGAGCTATAAAACGGGTATTCTTTTAAATGTAAATCCCATATTGTGCTGTTGTAACAAAAAGCCTCACCCAACACAATCACGACCACTGCAATTCTAAAGATAATACGCAACGCGTCAGTGAAGAGAACTGACCCTTGCATGTGGCTTCCCTTTTATTGGATTTTTACAAAAGAGAAGTCCTTGTTTTCCACAGATGACTCACTGAAACGAATCTTTGCAACCTGGCTAATGAACACAAACCACGGAGCTCTACACTGTATGCGTTTGGTGTTTCACAAAAAGGCGCCGCGCTGCCCAACAAGCAGCATACAATAGGATCATTTTGGGAGTTTTCATGCAGACTGATCTAATTTTGGCAGAACAATTCAAATATATGTCAAGTCTGTCTCCGTCAAAAGAGTGTGTTTTTAATAAGGCTCTAAATATCAGAACATCCCATTAACCATTATCTAAAACCTTGTTATCAGCACCATTGTAAAAAGAGACAATGCCTGTCACAGTGAATATTACATTTGAAAATTGAATATTTAAATGAATCCCTCACCTATACAACCCTTCTTATCAGCCCCATTGTGGCAAAAGACAATGCATTACATTAAAGTGAATATTATATTTTATGTCCTATGCTGTAGAAATTGGGGATTTTCAGCTCAACCGTTTCTTCCCGAACGTTTTCCGCTTTGTGTAACAAAGCGCTTTCCTGACCTTGTGAGCGAACAAACTCGCTAATAACGCATCGCCGCCGACGACACGCGGCCAACAACGGGGGGGAGTCGGATGCGGCCGCCTCAAGTGTCAAGTCTTTGCAAGAATTTCGAGCTTAGTATTGGAACGAAAACCTTGAGGACAAAAAAACAAATCAAAAACCCAATTACCTTCTTTTCAGTGGTGTGTGACGCACGTGTATCAGCTCCTGCTGCACGTGCTCCTTCTCTTTGTTGGAGCGGTGCAACTGGTCTTGGATCTGCACTCTCTGCTGCTCTTTCCGTGTCCGGGGCCGGTGTTGTTTCACGGGTGTCGTTCCACAAGCACTCGGTGGTTTGCAGCTGAGGAGGAGAACTTTTTACAGCAAGAGGAAAGTGGAACTTTGGGACGTTCGCGTCCACTCGGTCTCCATGGCAGTGAAACGGAAACACGTCGAGGCTTTGTGCCGTGCGGGGGAAACCCTACGGTTACTGCTTTGACTCGGGACCAATAAAACCGCTTGACTGCACATCGTGAAAGGCAAGGGACGCGAACGGGAGACTAGTGCACTATTCTGTGTGCGCACACCCCCTGAGAGGACACCCGTTTCAAAATGGCCGCCGGTGGAGGCCGTTTAACAACAATCCTTAAACAGTTGTGTTGAGTCTATTTTCACGGTGCATCTCGCAGCTCCTCGCACGAGAAAATTAAATTTGGACTCCGATACAAAACACACACTTTGGACGAGTAGGAGAAGAGGAAAGACGGACTCAGCGCTGTGACCCAAAGTGTGCAAAGTGAGCGCCGGCACGCGTGAATTCGATCCGCCGCCACCTCCAGAAGACTCACGATGCCAGTGAGGTAAAAGGATAAATTGGGATATTAGTAAAAAGTAAAGGGCACAAAGTCGGGAACCAAGTACGTCTTTCAAGTGTTTCCCCGAGTCGAGCAACTAACACGCTTTCATGGTTGAATATACTTTGTTTAGTTGGCTGCCGGGCAGCCGGTGTCCGCTAAAACACTAGTAACAGATGAATGACTCGTTTCGGTCAAGGACACAGTTAATGGGTTACTCTAGGCCTAAAACATGGCTGCCGCGGTCTACACTGATACACCTAGAGGGGCAGGAGGAGAGAGAGATGAATACAGAGAGAGGGAGAGAATGATAAGAAAGAGAGGGAGCGGACAATGAGAGAAACCCAAAGGCCGTTCCATTCATCATCCGTATGACTGTTTAATGTTCCCATACATTACGATTGGTTCTCATTGGGGGGAGGGCGAGACCGGACAAGGCGGAGGAGCGAGGGAGAAGGAGCGCAATCAAGGAAGAATTATCTGAAAAATAAATACATTTAAAAAATAATGAACGGACAAAAGAAAAAAAACACAAAACAACTCTTCACCCCTCCTCCCCCTCTTGGCTAAAGGATATTCACACTAACATGGTTCTTTATTGTACAAAGAGCCAACTCTCTGCGGGGCTAAGATGGTGGCGATGAGTTATTAAATATGGAGAGAGGGCGAGAGAGGGAAGGCGGAGGAGGAGGGGAAGAAGGGACAGATGATTAACTGTGAAGGAAGTAAAAAATGAGGAGAATTCCCAGATGTACCTGACTGGATTTGATTTAGAGAAGGTTCCTTATTTAAGAGGAGCTCCCATCCTGTGTGTCTGTGAGACAGAGAGAGAGAGAGACGGTGTGTGTGTGTGTGTGTGTGTTACCTACTTTGCT